TTACGAGCGGTTCTTGATGACAAGACCTAATGCGAGTCTCTGCGTTCTTTTTATATTAACAAAAAAGTCTTAGTTTTATCTTTTATTTATTTTTCATTGAGAAACGTTTTTAACAAACTAATTGTAAATTTTTCTTAACGATCTAATTGTAAGTTAATTAATTTTTCTTTGAATATATTGTAATAAGAAAAAAAAAAAAAAAAATGAATATATATATATATATATATATATATATATATATATATATATATATATATATATATATATATATATATATATATATATATATATATATATATATATATATATATATATATATATATATATATACTACTGTGATCAAAAAGTAAGGTGAATTTTTAATTTAAACTTCCCGCCTTATTCGAATCGTCCAATCTTTTTTATTTTTAAGTTGGTAGGAATGTCATTAACATTTGCGCCAAATTACATGTCGAACTCATAATTATTTTTTTTTTGTTTACGCTTGTTTCTGAAGTACCAAAAGTGCATTCGGCGATTTTCACGATACCTAATTTTGTTGAGCAAAGAAGTGCTATTAAATTTTGTTTGCGGAATGATATTTCTGCTGCTGAAACGTATCGAATGTTGCAAAAGGCCTTTGGTGAAGAGACTATGTCTCAAAAAAATGTTTACAAGTGGTACAAAGACTTCAAAGAAGGCCGAGAACGTGTTGATGACTTGGAACGCTCTGGACGACCATCGACTTCGATCGATGATCGCCACATCAACAAAATCAAAGAATTGGTGCTTGCAAATCGTCGGTTAACCATTCGAGACCTTGTTGACATGGTTGGAATATCATTTGGGTTGGTGCAAGCAATTTTGAAGGATCATTTAGGCCTCAGAAGACTCAAATCACGTTTGGTGCCGAAATTTCTCAATTTCTTTGAAAAAGAGCGTCGCGTTAAAGCGTGTGAAGCAATGCTTTCTGACTATCAAGACGTCTACAAACAAATTATTACTGGCGATGAGACTTGGGTCTACGCATACGATCCTGAAACAACCGACCAATCAAGTGAATACCGTGAAAAAGGCGAGCCGAGACCGAAGCAACCACGTCAAAGTCGCTCAAAAATCAAGGTCATGTTGACTGTTTTCTTTGATTATTGTGGTGCCGTGCACTACGAATTCCTTCCAACTGGCCAAACTGCCAACAAGGAATATTATTTAAGCGTTATGCAACGTTTGCGTGAAGCTATTCGCAAAAAGAGACCGGAATTATGGGCCAATAACTCTTGGATTTTGCACCACGATAATGCGCCTTCGCACACAGCACTGGTTCTTCGTGAGTTTTTTGCCAAAAACTCTACCCATGTTGCTCCACAACCACCGTATTCACCCGACTTAGCACCGTGTGACTTCTGACTGTTCCCAAAGTTCAAGAGACCACTCCGGGGAAATTGTTTTGAGTCCATTGAAGAGATCCAACGTGAATCGGCACGCGCATTGAAGGCTATCCCTACCGAGGACTTTTCGGCATGCTTCGAAGACTGGAAAAAACGTTGGCAAAAGTGCATTGGGGCCGGGGGGGGGGATTATTTTGAGGGGGACGATACAGATTTGGAAGAATAAATAAAGATTTTTCATTTTATAAAAATATTCACCTTATTTTTTGATCACAGTAGTATATATATAAGTATATATATATATATATATATATATATATATATATATATATATATATATATATATATATATATATATATATATATATATATATATATATATATATATATATATATATATATATATATATATATATATATAGTGCTGGGAGTATTTAATACTATTTTAAATACTTTCTTTGTATTTATATTTGTATTTTAAATACTTTTGTTGAAAGTATTTAGTATTTGTACTTAAATTATTTTTTGATTAGTATTTTGTATTTTATACTAATTGAAAATACCTGAAAATACATGCCAAATTTATGATAAGTTCATTGAGGTTTAGTATGAATATAAGGTTTATTGAATATTTTGTACATGCACGTGCAATACCGAGAAGTTTTATTATTGGAGTCGGAGTCGCGATTTTGTATAGCGACTCTGACTCCGCTAAAAAGTTTGCGACTCCACGACTCCGACTCCGACTCCACAGCCCTGGTCATTAATTATCAAATTATTTCACGGGAATCAACAACTTTAATTTAAAAATGGCTGCCGCGAGCCGCAAAAACGAAATGACTAAAGAAAATAATGAAATTTTACCAGCAATTGTAGATGATGCCTTTTTCAAAATTGTAGCCAGATCAAAAAAAAAATAAAAAAATATCAGCATTATGCATATTATGTCTACGTAATTCAAAGCCATTATTGGGCACGCTGGAGGCAACATCAAATTTTCAAAGAATCGCTGAAAAAAGCTTCATTTATTTGCATTACTGCTGATATCTGGTCAATAGAAAAAGTCATCTTGGGATGACTGCTCATTATATCGAAATGCCACTAGATGATTCTAGTTCGGTTTCACGAGCATCTTTATCCTTTGCTTGCCGTCAATTTTATAGTAGTCACACATATGACACAATTACTGCTTTCTAAAATTCGTTGTCAACATGACCTTAACTTAGAAAAAATCTCAGCAACTGTCACCAACAATGTGTCAAATTTTGGAAAAGCATTCAGAGAACTTTTTGTAGAGTCAACTAGAAGTGTAGCAGCAACTAATGTAAGTGTGACCATCACACCTAATAATTTCGAAGAGCAAGAGGACATGGAAGAAGATGAAGTTAATGAGGATGAAGTTAATGAGGATGAAGTTAATGAGGATGAAGTTAACGAGGATGAAGTTAATGAGGTTGAAGTTAATGAGGATGAAGTTAATGAGGATGAAATTGATGTAATTAATAATGGAGTCATTCCTTCAGTTTCACCATAACATAATGATGACGAGTCCATTGCCGAGAGCATTTCTTTGCCATTTCATGAAATATGTATCAGCCATTCAATGAATCTTTTGGCAACTAATGATGCTAAAAAGGCATGTGATACAGACAGTTTAAGCGTACCTACAGTGCAGGCAAAATGCACTTTAATGTGAAATGCAACTTGACGAAGTAGTAAAGCATCAGATGTTGTGTCAAATATTGCAGACAAAGCAATATACTCTGCCCCATGGCAACACGTTGAAATTCTTAGAACAATGTTATCAAGCGATTACTTGAATTATGTGACAAACTTAATGATATATGTAGTGCTTTGAATGCGCCAAAGTTTAAAAAGCATGAACTAGAATGCTCGCAAGAATATGCCTTAGTCATGAAACCTGTTGCTACAACATTAGATTTTTAAGGGAATATTGTGTATTATGGCCATGTGTTTTCACATTTGTATAGCTTACAGGTAAAATTGGAAGCGTTTCAGAGTTGCCAGTTAAATTATTTGCTGCAGCATTGTTAGCAAGCATGAAAATTCGTTTTGAAATAGAACTGAGATTTGATGTGAGTAATTCATACAGGATTGTTGCAGCAGTTTTGCACCCACTGTTCAAGTTACGGTTATCTGTAGAGAAATATTTGAAAATACCATACTAGCTGCCTGTGAACCGTTGGCAGCAACCAATTTCAATGTGAACACTGACAACACAGTTGAAAATTTTGTTTTATATAATGATGACACTCCAAATGCTGGTGCAGCAATTGGAGTGTTAATAAGGTTAATATGAGCACCTTATGCAAAACTTGGAATTTACAAAATTAATTATGCTGGATCCAAAAATTTTCAAATAAACAATTTTTTGGGATCCCTACTCATGATCAACTTTGATATTTGGGCACCCGAATTTTTTTTTAAAAACACAGAGGTTATAAAAAGTAGCAAAGCTGCTCATATTACCCAGATCACTTGGTAATATGAGCACCTTAAATTTTAATTTACTTAAATTAGCTCATAAAAGTAACTTTAATTAAGTAAAAAAATAACAACCTGACAATTAGAAATAATTTTTGAAATGTAATGATTCGTTATTAACAAAACTTATCATTAAAAAATCAAATTTTAAGCAACTTTTTGTTGAAACAATACTACTATGTTATCGGCAAAAAAAAAAAAAAAATTAGTTCGTTATTTTTTCTCAACCTTTTTTTTTTTTCTCAATTTTTATTATTCAAACCTTTGAACAATAAAAATTCAAAATTTTTTGAATTTAAATTTCAGAAAAATATTTAGTATTGTTAAAATATTAGGTTTTTTTAGGATGTTTTGTTTTAATTCAAAAAATAATTAAAACCTCTGCTATTTTATGACTTTAAACTAGGTAATTTCAATGAAAAACACTGGGTAATTTGAGCATACTCATATTACACAAAACCAGCTCGTATTTTTGTATATTTATATTTTTGTTTACATTTTATATTTCGAACTATATGTTTATGATATTTATGTAAGTATATCTTTACCGCCAATCTGTGATTGATTACTTGTATAAAATAGTTTGTAGTTGTAAAATAAATATGTAAAAAAAAAAAAAAAATATTGTGACTATAGAATTTAATTACCGAGTTTTAATAATAATTGCAATTACTAAAGGTGAGTTTCTTCACCGGAACGGGATAGGGAAGGGAAAAATTATCACGTGAGCATGCGTGGACATATTAAAAATTTTACTACGCATGCCCACGTGATTATTTTTCCCGCTCCTTTCCCGTTCCCGTGAAAAAACGGATGAGTGGAAACTCGCCTTTATGGTCAGCATATCCCTAGAATAATTCATTTTTTAATGTGTTAATAAACATCATTTCAGTGAATTTTATTGTTTTTTTATCCAGTGAAACTTGTTTTTTTTTTAAATTGTCGGTTTCAAGCATACTCCCAAGACGACTTGAAATTGCTTTGATGTTTGCGGCTTGATGAACTTCCATCTGTTTTATACTTCCATGGTCTGAACGACAGTGAAGCCTTTCCAGTTCATTATAAAAATATATATATATATATATATATATTTTTAGTCGTAGAGGAAAAAAAGATGCAGAAATTTCTTTATCTAACTTTTTTTCGACATAAAAAAGATACAACTATTTTTTATAAGTTATACATATATCAAAATTCATTTATTTACAATATTTCTAAACGCTTAAATTGAATATAAATAATAATTTAATATATATATATATATATATATATATTCATCAAATTTAATTTTTTTGGCACTAAAAAAAAACTTTAATTTATTAAAAAAACTAAAAAAAAAATTAAGGTAATAATGTCGGTCATTGTAGGTATTATTTCAATAGCATAAAAAACTTTTTTAGAAAGCATTTGATTAATTTTAAAAGGTAAACACAATATTTCGACATATTTCGATGTTGTACACTGTTGACAAATGTTATTCATCATCAAATAGTCCTTTGCTTCCGCTATTTTTCTTTCCTTTCCTTTAATTTTTAAAATACATTTTTTAATAAAAAAAATTTAATAGTTTAAACTTTAATAGTTAACAAACAAGGAAGTTATAGAATTTAGAAAATAACAAAAATAACAGAATAAAAAAACACACTTTTTCGCGGTTTTTGGTCTTGCTGATTTACCTCTCCCAGTTTTCGGGCGTGATGTTTTGTCAGTTTCATGCGGCAGATTTTTACTGTAGGTAAGATATACTCCAGATAAATCTAATTCATTTACCTAAAGAAAGCAAAACAATATATTAATGATTTGTAATGGAATTATATATATATATATATATATATATATATATATATATATATATATATATATATATATATATATATATATATATATATATATATATATATATATAATTCCATTACAATTCCATTACATTATGGAATATATATATATATATATATATATATATATATATATATATATATATATATAATAATAATAATAAAAAATAAGATCAGAATAGGCTAGATAAGACAAAGTTAACGACATTCATATGGATTTTGTGACCAAAATCCATGTATTAATATAATATTAGACTGTAGAGTGAAAGCAATATTATTATAATTATTCATAGTTCAATAGTTTTAGTAATAAAAGCGGAAATAATTAACAAAGGTGTTGTGAAAATGCTTTCATTTAAATAACAGCAAAAAAACAATATATAAAATTTTTATATAAACTTTTTTCTGTGTTTTCTTAAAGTCAAAACTATCAAATTAATCGCGAATAAAACATTTTTAAATTACCGCAAAAACGAACTTGAATCATTTATTTTTTATAGAATATGTTTGTTTTTACTTTATTGTTTTATACTGTTTTTACTTATCAATTCTATTTGTTTTATTTATTTTAGTGAATATCGACTGAAATATAGGTAGAACATGCAAGGAGTGTATATACATCGACTGAAATAGGTAGAACATGCAAGGAGCGTACATACATCGACTGAAATAGGTAGAGCATGCAACGAGCGTACATACATCGACTGACAAATAGTAATCTTACAATCACTTTATCTCTTAGATTAAGTGTTCTTAAAACCTTATCTCCTAGATTAAGTGTTTGAAAGATAACTTAAAACTTTATCTCCTAGATTAAGTGTTTGAAAGATAACTTAAAACCTTTTTTCAAATTTGACTGAAATAACTGGTTTTTATCAAATACATCATAACGTTACTTCTATGATATCTTACCAGTATGTAATTCAATAACATCTTAAGAGAACAATTTATTCAAAAGCATGGCGTTCTAGAAATACAGGCCTTGAAAACGCGCCGAAATATTTATTGACAGTTGGCCGAATGCTAGTAAAAAAAAGTGGATGCGGACAAAGAGAGCAAAAAATAATAACAACATGTAAGAACTGTCTTAAAAGTAAAACTACAATAAAGTTAATAAACTATAATATAAATTTTATGTAAGATAATAAAATTTAAATAAAGACTCATTGTCATGACAGTTTTAAACGTTTTGCCTGGACTCCTTGGAGCATCTTGGAGATTTTATTAATGCTAATTTTTTTAAAAATATATTTGCTAAAGTGCGGCAATGTCAGTCATAAATAACAAATTAAAACTTTTTCGATACAGATAAGAAATATTTCATCAAAAATATTTGACAAAATTCATCTGATAACTGCTCAAGTAAAACTAAACAAAATATGCACCATTAAACAATATTGTGAACGGGAATAACAAGACCTACTCTACTCAGGTCATCAATATAGGCAACACATTTTTTATAATTAAATAACAAGACCTCCTCTATTCAGGTCATCAATATAGGTACCACACTTTTTATAATATAATTGTGTATCAGTATAATCATAGCCATTTTTTCTTTAAACATAACCAGCAAATTGAAAGTAATGATTCTGCAAAAATTTAGTACTCCTGCTCATTTAAACTTTGAAAACAATTATTACAGAAATGACCATTGATACAATCATAAAAAGTATCCATTTCTAACTGTAGGGAAATTTGCTTGAAGTTTTCTCTGGATAAGTTGTAAAACACCCCAGGATAACATAGTCATTTCCACAATCCAAAAGATACCTTGCAATGATGACTAACCCCCTACACACATAAGTAATACATTCAGAGGTATCTTTTGTAAACTACTTAATACCTTTTGGGCCTGACTTTTTCATTCTTTCAACAATATCTGCCACATCTAATAAGAATAACAGACTTTTATCTTTGTGTGAAAACTTTAATTCTGCATGGTACTCATCTTTATAATGAGTATCTGGTCTAACACCTTTCCGATTACAAATTTTTAAAAATTTACAAATATAGAAATAAATTTGATGATGCCAATAACTTCATCTTTTTTAATGGATGGATGATTTTTAAGTGCAACAATTTTTTCATCACAGAAAACTTGTAAACAAGTGTCAACTTTCAATTGGTTTTGGAGAGGTGCAAATTTCATTTAATTTGCTAAGTTTTAAAAGAATGGCAGATTTAAACTCATATTGAAATATACAAAACAAAATTATGAATTGAGATATTTAAAACTTTAAAAAAAAGGTATTGCAAGATATGCAAGAGCAGGTCCAACTATGTTTATAATGCACTTTTGCACCTTATCTAAAAGAGAAAGGGGATCATTCGAAGATCCGCTACAGATATGACAACAGTATTCCATACAAACATGGATTTGAGACTCATAGAGATAAAGAATAGAATCTGGGGCAAGAAAGTAGCAAGCACAATAAAAAAAACCTTAGCAGATGCTAATTTTGCAATGGATTTGATATATCATTTCCAAGAAAGACTGTAAGTAAGAATTAATCCTAGAAGACGAAGGGTAGATGACTCATCAAGTACATTACCATTTATAAATATATAGCTGAAATAAATTGAGTTTAAATTGAGTTAAAGTCCACCAACCACTGGGAGCCCAATGCTGTAGCAGAAGTGAGATCCTTTTCAAGCTTAAATAAAGATGTTACCAGATACATCATAAGAAGAAAGCTTATGGAGAAAACCAGCATCTCAAACTTTTTCAAAGGCTTTAGAAATGTTGAGAGTGATAGCCTTAACCTCTCCACCTCTATCTAATGCAAACCTATCAGTTATTACCTTTAACAAATAAGCAGTAGAACATGAAGATCAAAATCCATATTGATTATTAGAAAGTAAATTAGATTCAAGATGAGAGATTAAGTGTTTTTTAATTAAAAACTCAAAAACCTTACTTATGATAGAAAGAAGACTAATGGGACGGTGGTTAGATGAGTCAGATCGCTCTCCAGAATTTTTGAAAATTGGGATAAAAGATGCTGCTTTCCAGCAAGCTGGAAAACAAGACTCTGATAAGCACTTGATAAACAATTTTGAAGTTTCTTACATAACACCTAGCTGCTATGTTAGAAAAATTTTTAAAAATTATATTTAAATAATCTTGCAAATTTTGATTTGTCAAAAATTAACTTTTTATTTATTTCTCACCATAGCATAAAACTTTTGAAATTATGATAAAACAGCTGTTAAAAAATTTGCGCATTTGATCGCAAGCCACACTAGAATTAAACTGTTTTATGCTTGTTTTGTAAAAAACTCATACCCATATTATTAAGACCACCATTTTATTACCTTGATTACACCCTTTTATTAGATCTTGATTAAAAGTCCCCTCACCCCCTCTAAGCATGCAAGAGTACCGCCTTGATATCATGCATCTTTCTGCAATATATTTTATCCATCAGAGGATTTCTCCATGATCAAAGATGTAGTATCTTTATCAATTTTATTTTGGTTTAATAAATATTTAATAGATTTTAATGATTCCACATTTATGGTTTCAAAATGATAGTAAAGGAAACTGCACTAATAAGAGTCTAAATGCCAGTGTGATGTAAATTTAATTTTTTTGCCTATATAAAAAGTTATGTAGGCGAAAAATTTGTCTAATGTTTTAATGACTGGACTCAATAAAATAAAGTATAGTAAGCAACTATTATAAAAGACCTAATAAAAATTTTGTCTGATCAACTATTTTTTTGTACTTTATTGAGTTCAGTCATTTAATCATTAGACAAATTTTTCGCCTACATAACTTTTTTATATAGGCAGAAAAATTCTTCAATACACAGCATTTTTAAAACCATTGAACAAAAGATAATTTAGAGAATAATGTAATATGCATCAAATTCATCAATTAAAATTAAAACTTCTGGAGTGCTTAAGTGTTGAATAATTTTTAATTGGAAAAATATGTATATTTTTTTAAGCTAGATAATAGTAAATATAAAATATTTACTATTATGTAGGTAATATCCTTCAAGATTAACATTCAAATCATTTCAATGAATTTCATCTTTTTATACAAAAATAACATCATTTATCATGATTATTTAATGCATGATGAACAGTCAGTGGTTATTTACTTTTGAATAGAATATACTAATGATGGTATCTTTTAAATATACTAATGATGGTATCTTTTAAATATATTAATGATTAATATATAAAATATACTAAATTTCTCACCAAAAAAACGATATATATCCTGATGTCTAATTATAGTAGTTTATAACTCTTTTTTTTAGGTTTATAACCTTGGACTTTTGAAATTAAGTATATGTTGTAGTAAATGTATAGTATATATGTAGAAACAAATATTTAGCATATATGTTGCACAGTATATAAAAATCTAAAATTTTAAATTTAAATTATTGGCATATTATAGATTAGATAAAAGACAATAAAATAAAAAACTCACTTTTTTATTATCTTTTTCAGGACTGGACTCTAATTTTCTCATATTATTGCCAGTATAGGCAACATAAAACTATAAAAACAAAAAAAAACAAAAAAACAAAATAAACTGTTTAACATTTTCATAAATTTTAGTGTAAAAGTTTCCTTACTAACTGCCATTCACCAATCTCTTCATTCCAAACAACATTTTGAGCAATAATGGCCTTCATCAAAAAAAAAACATTAATGTAAACATTGACCTGTGACCACATAAAAATTTTTTTATTAATGAACTTGTGGTGTGAATGTTTTATTGTTTTAAAAATTTTAAATTAATTAAAAATTACCTGTAAGTCTTTTGGTATGTAACTGTCAAGAGTTAATTGTAAAAACTTATCTTCTTTTGATGCATTTCGAATACTATCCAAGAGTCCTTCTGTTTCTCTTTGATGCTCTTCTTGAATATCATTAATCTAAAAATAGAAACATAAGTTTTCCTTAAATTTCTATAAATTTTGCTTCATATGCAAAATGTGTCTAAGACATTCAAAACATCTTAAAGAGACAATTGAAACATGTTTATAAACCTTGCTTCATACACAAAAAGTAATAAATTAAATCCCCGCCACAACCTTGTAGTCCCACATAATGGCTTTGTATGTCTTTTTTTAACTAATATAAAATTTTTTAAATGTTAAAACAAAAAATAAATAAATGTACCTCAGACTTAGCTGCCATAAGCATTGTCCAGACCTTTTTTAATTTTTTTGTTTTACCAGCAGCTTCTTCTTTGAGATTAGCATATTTTTCTTCAATATCAATATTTTCTGCCTAAAACATTTACATTCTGATAACTGAAGTCTTTATAAAACCATTTAGAATTATAAATTACAAACCAATCAAAAATGATAATTTAAATAAAACAGATATTTTGGCATAATTACTTCTTGTTCTTCTAATTTTTTACGCATTTCTGCTTCACGCGCATGTCTTGCCTCTAATTCTTTAGCAGATTGATCTAAAAGTCTCTGCTGTTCAGCATCTTTTTCCAGCTAATTTTTAAAAAAGAAGGAAAATAAAATTAGTGTAAATAAACATTCATTGATACTATTTCTTATGAAACTTAATAACATACCAAGTTTACACCACCAACAATCAACTTGGACTCAACTGCTTTAAGTTTTTCCTGCAATTTTTGTTGCTCTTCTCTTAAAATAATTACATATATATATATATATATATATATATATATATATATATATATATATATATATATATATATATATATATATATATATATATATATATATATATATATATATAAATATATATATATATATATATATATAAGTATATGTATATATATATATATATATATATATATATATATATATATATACATATATATATATATATATATATATATATATACATATATATATATATATATATATATATATATATATATATATATATATATATATATATATATATATATATATATATATATATATATATATATATATAGTAGAAAATAAAACTACATGATTTTCACAACTTTAAGTTTCATGCTATAAATCACTTGTTATTAGATTAATAAAAACTAAACTTACTGGGCTTTAGAAAGTTCATTTTCTCTTTTAAGTAATTCATTTTCAATTTTTAATTTTTCATCTTCTGCAAGGTTTTTTTTTTCAAGGAGAGCCTTTCTTTCGCTTTCAATTTGAGCTTTAAGCCTTTCAACTTCTCGCGGAGAAATGCATTTTGATACTATTACAAAAAAAAAAACAAAAAACAAAACAAAAAACAACTAGCTATTATTATATGAACAATATAGAAAAGTAATTTAAAAATAAAATTAAAAAGCTTTTTAAAAAGACCTATTTTTTTCTTCCTAATTTTCTTCTCTCCATTCTCATCAACATACTCCTCATCTTCTTCATCGTCTTCTTCTGAACCACTTAATTCACCTCCATAACCACCTTAATAAAGAGAAATTAAAAGTTTTAAATGCTTAAACAAAAAATTGTTTTTAAATACAAAAAAAAAAAAAGATATAAATAAATACTACAATAAAAAAAAAAAAAAACCTTCAGCTAATTGAGCTCTTAATTTTTCAATTTCTGTTTGAAACTCGCGTAGTAATGCATCTTTAGGATCTTCATTAATTTTAGCATTATTTTTTATATTCTTTGCACGATTAGCATACCTATATTAGTTAAAGATTTATAAAAGAAGAAAAACTTTTAACTTATAACTAAATAGTAAAAAAAAAATTACCGAAGGGTACTTATAGTTTCATCTACATTGTATGATGCAGGACCCATATTTGCAATCTAAATGTTTTACATATTTGCAATCTAAATGTGGTTTTAGTTACAGCTTATCTAATAAATATATTTTATTAAAGAGTGTCTGAGAGCAAAATTAAATCTTGGAGGCATCTAATAACTATTTTTTATTTCAAGGGCTACATAATAGTAAAGTTTATAGAGTGAAAAAATAAAGAAAATTACCATCACAGTTTTTGAATTGCCTCCTAAAGAATCTTGAAGCAGTCGTGTCAACTTTGAATTCCTGTATGGAATATGCGTGCTTTTACCATCAATGAGAGCTGAAATGACATTACCAAGTGTAGAAAGAGAAAGATTTATATTATTTGCTTCTTTAAGTCTGTCACCACTTGCACCTGTTTTTGCTTGTCTTTCAGAGCCCTAAATTACACACACATACAGTAATACATTTTATTAGCAGTTTTTTATTTTTTAATTTGACATTTAGTTAATTTTTAATTTAGAAAAAAGCATTTTAGGTTTAAAGTATGCTGAAATAAAATAGAAATCTATCCAGTACTTACAGCAAGATCAACCATATGAAGTTTTCCCATACGTAAATGTTGCTGCCCATCAATCCCCTTTTCGCTTCGTTCAATTGTAATTGTGAAAATGGCATGCGATCGTGATGAGGTAGCATTCATATTTGTAGCACCAACAGATCCTAAAAAAAAATTACACTTTGTCAAACAAAAATAAGCGTCATAACATGAGAAATTTGGATAAAGAAACTTTAAATATATTTAGTGTATAGAAAATATTTTAGAAAGATTATTCATGATAACATACTGCATTTATTTCCCATTGTCATTGTTTTATCCATGTCATCAGCATTATTTACGACATAAGCTGAAAGATCTTTTACATACACACCAACATCAGGACGCTCTTTAACCTTTAAATGATAAATTATAAATACAATTTAATATTTATATTTAGTTAAAAATACTTTAAATAATATTATAATTCTTTTTTTTTACTTACTTCTAATTTTGCATTTTGGTCTCGACCAAGCAGGTCTCTTACATTTTCATTATAAATTTCCAAATATGAAACACGAACTAGGAATCTAAAGTTTTATGAAACATTTATGTAGCATTATATATTTCATGAAATATTGTAAACTTTCAAATGTGAAAAACAAACTATGTATCTAAAGTTGCTTTATTTGAAATATAATAAACTTCATAAATAATCCTATTTATCATCATCACTATCATCATCAATTCCTAATCTAGTCAGTTTTGTAGAAGGTCTCTTAGGCAAAAGACTTCTCTTAGGCAAGGACTTTAGAATTAAGCAGTAAGTTCTTTTGATAAGCCTTGTACCCTTTCTTAATCTACTTTGCTGGTGTAGATGTAAACCTGTGTCACATTGCTTCCTGCCTAAAACGATGAACTCAGGATCTTCTTGACTCTACTCATAGGTCTTGGCTTGTGCTTCCTTGATAGTGGCTATATATATCTTCCTGATATTTCCTAACGAGGGTGCAGCTCTAAAACTCAGTTGAATGGTTATGAGGCCAGCTGAGAATAAGGTTTCCTAAACTCTGCAGTAGGTCTTAGAGAGGCTTATACCATCAACAGTTAATTATCAAAATATTAACAGTGCCATGTTGCATATAGGTGGTGTCTCTGTTAGTACTTTTGATGCGTATTGTTGAGGCCACAAAAGGAGCCCTTTGTTACAACACTAGGTTAGTTAGCTAGACTGAAACAACTGCATAGCTCATTGCTCAGGGTGCCATGTACTATCAACCATCAAGTCAAGATTTCTAATAATTTAAAACTTGACTAAAGTAGCTAAAAATATTAAATATAAAAAAATCATCACCAGTATGTGGGGATGTTTTAATCTATCTTTATAAATATTGGGGTTCTTCGAAAAAACTTTTTATCTATTGAATCTCACCTCTTACATAATTTACCATACTTAATAGCTCTTTGTAAGACTAATTTGAATTCAGCTGTTTGATCTTTGGATCTCAATGTTGATGGCTATTATTTTTTGATTCACAAAAACTCCAAAAGTCACATACTTGACCTGGACATATACTTATGTATTAGTTCACCTATTTTTTGTGAAATGATATCTTTTGTCTCTCTGTTAAAATTGTGCTTTTATTATAACCACCCTGATTTGAGCAGGCAGGAAAGCTTTTACTTTTTATTAGCTTTTAAGTCAAGCCTCACTATACGCCATAGTTTTTTCCTTTTTGTGCGGCTCCAATTTCTATTTGTAATTGTTTCTTATATTTTTACAAGAACAACTCTCTGGATAAGAGAAACATGTTACTCCACTGTTAGACATCCAAATCAATCCTGCTTCCATTACTAAAGTTATTTCTTGCCTTAACTCTTCTATAGCATGTGTTCCAGACATTTCTGTCACAGTTTTATTAGGCAACATTTCTGTCACAGTTTTATTAGACAACATTTCTGTCACAGTTTTATTAGACAACATTTCTGTCACAGTTTTATTAGACAACATTTCTGTCACAGTTTTATTAGATAACATTTCTGTCACAGTTTTATTAGACAACATTTCTGTCACAGTTTTATTAGACAACATTTCTGTCACAGTTTTATTAGACAACATTTCTGTCACAGTTTTATTAGACAACATTTTTGTCACAGTTTTATTAGACAACATTACACAGTCACAGTTTTATTAGACAACATTACACAGTCACAGTTTTATTAGACAACATTTCTGTCACAGTTTTATTAGACAACATTTCTATCACAGTTTTATTAGACAACATTTCTGTCACAGTTTTATTAGACAACATTTCTGTCACAGTTTTATTAGACAACATTTCTGTCACAGTTTTATTAGACAACATTACACAGTCACAGTTTTATTAGACAACATTACACAGTCACAGTCTTAAGTGTTCTCAAGAACTCTTTTTAATACTCTTTAAGCTATCTAATAAGAACCTTATTTTCCTTTCTGGTGGAATAAAATTTGTGGTTCCAAATTTTAAAAACTTTGGAGAACTCTATGACCCCTCTGACTATCAGACTTCTCTCTATTATTAGCCTTTGAGTCTTTATTATTATTATTAGTCTTTGAGTCTTTAAATAACAAATTTCTAATATCTCAGCTTTAGTCTAACAACAATCAATACGGATTTCAATTTTCTTATTCTTAAGCTGACTTGTTAACTGTTATAAGAGAAAGGTTCTATTGTGCATTATATAGTATCAGTGAAGGTTATTGCTCATGCCAAAAGTTGATAAAAGAGTTCCATACAAGAGTTAATGAGATTTATAGAAATAGAGAATGAAATCCAGAGTTAGAAAAGAGTTAGAGGCAACAAGGCAAAAGAGGCAACCTTAGCAGATGCTAACTTTGCAAATGGATTGTATATTTGGTTTCCATGAGAGTTCAGTAGTGAAGGATAATCCAAGAATGCTTATAGCAGTATAGTAAAGTAGAGGACTTAGTAAGAGTGGTGCCATTCATGAATAATGGAATATCAACATGATGGCTATAGTTGTGAGCAGTAAGTAATTGAGTTTTAAACTGTTTTAATACTGTGTTTAGAAAAGGATTGTTTTAATACTGTGGTTAAAAAAGTTAATTAGATACATTTTATGAAGCAATCTTACAGAAAAGACCAGGGTGACAGACTTTATCAAAAGTCTTTGATATGGCTGCATTGGAAGTAAAGTTGGACACTAGCTGCAAAGCTTGAGTCTCTGCTCGAGCCCCATCATTGTAAAGTTGCATCTCTTTCTCTTTTTTAAAAATACAACATGATTGCTGTTTAAATATTAGGTATCATTACTTGTTCCATCAAATAAAACTCAATCTTAAGTGATTTGTCATTCAGTAAAGTTGCATCTTTTTACTGTAATTCCTTCATTTTAATAAAATTTTTATTCGCCAAGTTTTTTCCAAGTTTTAAACATCTTTGGGATTCTCTCCAATTTTTCCTAACTCATACAATTAACAGTTTTATAAGTCTTCTGTCATCCTTTAACTTTGTTTTCTGTTAACTCCCAACTTAAATAGTGGTTGCATGCAGTCTTGTTAGGAGTAAATTAGTTAAACCAATACTAAACTCATTAAAGAAAAAAAAGCTTCTAAAACATCAATAAAAATTGAAAGTCAAATCTATTTAACTATTTTGCAATTGTCCCCACTAGAACTTAATTATCTTTTATTTTTATAATAAAGAATGGAGGACTAGTTTAATAATTGATCATGACCATGGTCGCACTAATAAACCAATAAACCAGTGTTAAACAAATTTAAAGAATTTATTTGAAAATATTTGAGCAAAATATAATGCCAAAAAATACCTGGTATCTCCATCTAACTTAGAGATATACCCAAAAATATGTGCAAATGAATTAGGGATAATTCCTCTAAGGTTAGGTTCAGCACGTATACCTTCCATTGTAAAAGTCTTCCCAGTTCCTGTTTGACCATAAGCAAATATGGTACCTTTAATAATAATAAAAAAAGATTTATAAGTACAAAATATTTTATTATTTATAAACTAGTTAAAACAAATATTTAAATATATAACCATTGTATCCTTCGAGAACACTTTCAACAATAGCTCTGGCTGCGTCGTTGTAAACATCTGTTTGCTTACTTTCAGGACCAAATACGCGATCATATGTAAAGACTTTTGGTACATCACTAGATCTATTATCTTCTTGTTTAATAGTAACAGTTCCACGAACTTCATCACAAACTATTGCTATAGAACAATTAGTGTCTTTCTCCTTTTGACTGAGAGGTCTACATCTTACAACAACACGAACATTGTCACTATTGGTATCTTTTTTCATTGTACTATATATATTTAGATCAGAAAGTGTTTTACAAATAATAAACAGTTTTTTAAATCATACTTTTTTGATAACTTCACCTTTAAACAAGGAGAAAGAAACTTCACCTATGGTTAAACAAATTCTATCACCTATGGTTAAACAAGGAGAAAATTCTATCAAAACAGTAAGTTTTTTGTTTAATTTTTGGTAAAGATATCATTTTACTGGGCTTTTTTTTTTCTCTTTTTATTTTAAAGTTTAAAAGCCATCTATTACATTTCTTGAAACTTTATTAAAAAAAACTTTTGCAAATTCTGCAAAATTTACCTAAAACTTGAACAAAGTTCAATGCTCACAAATGCCTATAAAACTACATGTATATATAACTATATATATATATATATATATATATATATATATATATATATATATATATATATATATATATATATATATATATATATATATATAACTATATATATATTATATATATATATATATATATATATATATATATATATATATATATATATATATATATATATATATATATATATATATATATATATATATATATATATATATATATATATATATATATATATATATAGTTATATATATATATATATATATATATATATATATATATATATATATATATATATATATATGTATATATATATATATATATATATATATATATATATATATATATATATATATATATATATATATATATATATATATATATATATATATATATATATATATATATATATATATATATATATATATATATATATAGTATTGGCCATTACTAACAATCCAGCATGTTTTTTTGGTATCATTTGATTTGATGGGTAATAAATCAGAGATTGTTTGACTCTTCAAATATAAAAAGTGTTAATTGATGAGGTTTATATTTCCTTTCAAATAAATATAAATATTCATAAAAATATTAATCAATGGGCTAATCTTCTTTACTTTTTTTTTCACGCATATCTTATAATGTAAAATAGTTATAATGGTCAAAAATAACAATTCATTTTATTATTTTAAACTTCCTTCAAAATTTCATTTGTCTTTAGGAAAACTTTGAACTTATTTGTGAAATATAAATTATTATTTGAGAATTTTTATTTAAATTGTTTTATAAATTCAAAAAAATATATTTTGTTTCGAAGAGACTCAGCACCAACACCTAGTTTATCCCATCAGATAAACATCATTGCCATTTATGCTTTACAGTGTGATGAACGCCTACAATGTGAAAAATGCTGTTAGATAAAACTTTATCATAAATACAACAAGTCACTAAAATTTGTACTTATTGGATAAATAAACTCAAGCCGATAAGATATAGAAATGTATATATAAAAGCTATAAAAACAACAAAACCATACAAAGTATATTGCAGTCATAGATACCTACATCAAATGTTGCTAATCAATCAAAAAAAAGATTTTAAATAAAATATCGCAACAACGACAAAAACAGTAAATGAAACCACTACAATATCAAAAGTTAAAAACTACTTTGGGTGGGAAAAAAAAATATATGTATAAAAAATGACAACCTAAAAACTAACATTTTTACATACATATACACACATATGCATACATACATATAAACATACATATGCACACATACCAATGGTTGTCGAAGTAAGTATTGAATGTTCCAGTACAATAAAGTCAAGTATTACTAGAAACCAACGTAAAAATTCTATTTCTGAATCAAATATAGCTAACCAAGCCATACTTTAAATACCTATGACGAATTTAACATCTATACATAGGATTTATATTATTTTCTGGTTCTAAAAGTTTGCTCAAACATGTTCCAGAAACAAACATATTTTTCCATGGAAACAGCAATTATGTATGTAACTGTAGTTCTGTTGATTACTGTTGATAATTATGTATGCAACTGTAGTTCTGTTGACACAAAAAAATAAATAAATAGGGAAGCACACATAAAAGTAGTATTGTATATTAAAAATATGAAGGATGAGATCAAACAAAGACATTTAACTAAGACAGTTCAAATAAATTTTTGCGACAAGATATTTGAGACTATTTATGCATAAGGGTGTTTTCATGTTGAACATATGTATGTACCATAAAAAAATATCTACAAACAACTACTACAATACTAGTACTAGAAAAATACAATTACATGCGACAAGCTACTTATTAAAAATGTCTATCAAAAAAAAACATAAAAAACCAAGCAAAAAAAAAAGTGTTTAGCTCATAATGCTTGGTTTATAGGCATGTTGCTCAACATTCAAGTAATGTTGAGAAGAATGAAAAACATAAAAATTTGGACCCAGATTGTTCTATGTATAAAACAAAACAAAGAAGTGGCAGTATAGGCATCTGGACCACAGGAAAAAATGGACCCAGATTGTTCTATGTATAGAGCAAAACAAAGTAGTGGCAGTATAGGCATCTGGGCTTGCATAAACTATGAAGGTGTTGATTGCTTCAAACTACTCGATGGAAGGCTTGATTCTCAAAGATATTTAGATGTATTAAATAATTATTTAATGCCTTTATGGACATTTTTCCAAAAGATATGGAAATTATATTCTAACAAGATAATGTTATAATGTTTAAGATTCGCAAACAATAGTTTGAAGAAAATAACATTAAAACCATGTTTTGGCCTGCCAATAGTACAGATATCAATTGCATAGAGAACTGGTGGTCTTGATAAAAGCACAATTTTGGTAAAATTGAAACAAAAGATCTGGATCAGCTGAAAGAAGAAGTAACAAAATTAATGAATAGTTTTCCAAAAGATATTACTCAGAATTTAGTGAATTCCATGTTAAAACAGATTAATAAATGCTTAAAAGCTAAAGAATTCTCAACAAAATATTAATTTTTAAATAATTTTTTTATTATGGTTTGTTAATTTTGTTGTGCTTGTTTATTTTAGCCATATATATTTTTTTAAATACATATAAACACGTTTTTATTTTACTATTTCAATTTTTAATCTTAATTTTTATTATTAATTTATAATAAATTTATATTGTGATCATTTATTTCAATAAAAAAAAAATTAAAGAAAAAATCTTTTTTAACTTTTAAAAAATTTATTTATTCAAATTTATGTATATATACTAAAATAACACAATGGATTGTTATTAATTGCCAATACTGTGTGTGTGTGTGTGTGTGTATATATATATATATATATATATATATATATATATATATATATATATATATATATATATATATATATATATATATATATATATATATATATATATATATATATATATATACCTTCCGCACAAAAAAATGAGGGCATATGCAAAACATTTGTTTGTATTTTTACAATTTTTGGCGAGTCATACAATAACTTCTTTTGTATTTCATGAAACCTATTGTTTGATTTATCAGGTGCATATATATTCATCAAAAAGTCTATGTGTTCATTATTATTTCTGATTTACCTAAAAATATTTATTTTAGAAATGAAGTCGTCAGCGTTGACACTTGACTATCTTTTTTAAGCGGTTCAAAAGATCTAGAGTCTTTGATGAAATTAACTGGAACACCTAAGGCAACAGTTGCAAGATATTTAAAGAAAATGAGGGAGGAAATGAGCTTGGAAAGAAAGAAAGGAAGTGGTAGACGAAGAAAACTTAATTTAAAGAACCAACAACGATTGATTCAATTAGCTCGAAAAGATGACACACAATCCGCTTGAAATATTCAAATTGAATTAATTAAAAAAGATAGTCCCAAAGTTGCTCCCAGAACCATTACTCATTATCTGAACCAAAGTGGGAACTTCAGTTTCATTCCCAAAAATCAAACCCTATTGACTCCTGTTCAACAAGAAAATAGGGTAAAATGGTGTAAAGAACACCTAAGAACAAGATGGAATCAATGGGTATTTAGTGACGAGAGTCGTTTCGAGTTATTTTGAACTCGAAAGTTGATGGGCGAAGAAACTACCAAGAATTGGCGAACCAAAGTTCAAACAAAGTCTCATGGTTTGAGGGGTCATAAGTTTTAAAGGTAAAACATCATTGTTTATAATCAAGGGCACTGTGAATAGTGAAAAATACAAAGAAATACTTTCTGAAGCTGAGCCAATTCTAAAAAATCTTTTCCCAAGGAGTTTTACATTTCAATAGGATGGGGTGACATGCTACACTTCAAAATCAGTTTCTGAGTGGTTTACAGAACATAAATGGAAAAATTTCTTCTTAGCCTTCTAATTGACCGGATCTAAACCTCATTGAAAATGTGTGGGGGTTAATGAAAAAAGCAGTGAAAAAGAAAAAACCAAAAAATTTAGATGATTTAAAGATTGCAATTCAAGAAGTTTGGAACAGACTTTCCATGGATTACTTGAAGTCATTAATTAACAGTATGAACCGTTGTGTTCAAAAATGCATAGAAGTCCAAGGACACGAAAAAAAACTTGGTCTCATTTTTTTTGTCCGGAAGGTGTTTATATATATATATATATATATATACATATATATATATATATATATATATATATATATATATATATATATATATATATATATATATATATATATATATATATAGCATCCTAGTTGCAACTTTCGGGGACATGTTGTTTTTGTTCCCGTTTTGTGGTTTTTTTTTTACTTTTTTATACCATATTTTTATCATACTTATATATTTTTTTTAACTTTTATTTTATTTCTATTTTTATTTATACATATTTAAATTGATTATTTTATTATAAAAATATATTTTTTATATTGATTTTTGTTATTTTTATTTATTTATTTTATATTATATTTTATTTTTAGTTTCATCTATTTACAAAAACGATTATTTACAATAATATAACCAAATTTAAACCTTGTCGTAACCCTAACCCTAAGCCTGACCTTGATGCCTGGCTTAACCAAACCCTCAGTCCATGTAGCAGCACTCCCTTGCGAGTCAGGCTATTTGATAGTCGATGTATGTACTTTTTGTTCTCTGTAAAAGTTTCTTATGGGTACATTTTTTTACAAAAAAAATCATGCTTACAGGGACAAAAAATTAACGGGTACACAAAAATGTCCCTGATAATGCTAATGTCCCCGTAAGTGTTTGTTTTTTGTAAAATCTGTCCCCATAAGTGAAAAACTATATATATATATTGGGTGGACACGGAAAAATCCGGTCAACTTTAAATTGAGATTTCTCTAAAACCATTAATACTATTTATTTCAATTTTTTTATTATTAAATGTGCTTACATCAATTGGAGTTTAACCTTAATTTTAACGAGGTTGTTGGGCTGTTTGGCGAGAGATTAAATTTTATAGTGGGTTGATGCCATTATTTCGCAGATTTTTTCTTTTTTCATCTTATTGGTGACATTAATCCACTTTTTTTGGAAGTCCTTTAGTTTTTTGTTACTCCACCTGTCTTAGGAAAAACTCCTATAACTATTGCCCAAAAACCTTCAATCTTGTGCTCTTCAAGACGATTTGGAGGATTCACATCTTTAGGAACAATTTTCACATTATTATCTTTGCACCACTATAGAACAATTTTAGAATAGTGAGAAGCAGCAAGATCTAGCCGAAAGAGACATTGGTATTTGTGTTTTTTTCATAAACGGCTAAATTCTTTTTTGGATGCAGTCTTTGATATAGAGATTGGTATTCAAGGTCTTCTTAGTGACAAAACAAGTGGACTGCATACCACAACAACAAATTGCTTGCCACACAAGGAACTTGGATACAAATTTTTCTCGTTGAATGTATTTAAATTGACCATCAACAGGTTTATCTTTGTTCTCATAGTAAAATTGTTGAACAAGAAGTTGTGAAAAATCTGCCTTGCAATATGTTTCATCGACTTCAATTATACACATACTTTTATCTGCCATTTTTTAAACCTACTTCTTTGCGAGTTGAATTCTTTTAGTTTCACCATTTAAGCTTTTCTTAGATGTGTTTTTCTTATGAAATGCTTTAGTTAAAATTGAATTTTTTTGCTAGATGTCGCTGTGACTGGTTTGGATTTCTTGCTATTGAATTTAAAATCATCTTTACTTTTTTGGATTTATATAAAGTTTTCTTTCTTCCACTTCCAAGTTTTCTTTCGAAGCTTTGAGTAGTCTTGAACTTATTTATAATATCTATGACTATAGATTTTGGGACATTTGTTTGTTTAGCAATCAAACGATATGAAGCTAATGGATTTTTGCAAAAAAAAATTCAAAACTTATTTACGCACATCAATTTGTTTCCGAAACATTTTGCAAATCACTGATTTGTAAACAAAAGTTTATCAACACAATTAAAGATAAGGAAGTAAGGTTTAATTAAAAATATAAAATAAATAAAAAGTATTTGTGGTTTTAGATATATCCCGATATATATATATATATATATATATATATATATATATATATATATATATATATATATATATATATATATATATATATATATAAAGAGAGAGAGAGAGATAATATTACTATACTAATAATATCATTATGTATTGATAAAGAATTTTAAGTTAATTGCATTCTTTTTTTTCAATAAGAATACACACTTCAAAAATAAAAAATATCAAAAAACTTTATATTTTTTACCAAGCACGTTTTTTTATAAAGCACTTTTAAAAACAATAACAAATGACTCAATATGAATAAAACAAACAATTATATAAAAAATTTTTTTTTTAAATAAACAAAATTTCTGATTAATTTTCACAAAGTTTTCCTTAATTGGAAATGAAAAAGAAAAAAAATATTTTACAAATAAAAGAAACATTTTTTTTTATATTTAAAAAAGGAAAAAAAAAAAGAAAAAAAAAAGATGAATATCCATTTTATAAAAGGCTTTAGCTATAAAAATATGAAATAATTTACATATTTTTTACAAGATTAAGAAATAAAACAATATATATTAAAAATTTATAAATATTAACACAGGAATACATACAAAATTAATCAGATATGGTAGAAATATGTACACAATATTCCTTAAATTTCTATACATCTGCACCTTTTTTCAATGGAGCATTTTCCCTGAAAATAAAAAAATATATATTTAAATAATTACAAGTTATGCCATTATGTTAAAATTTTTAACCTTAAATTAATCACATTTTAATAATTTCCAACCTTAAATTATTCACAAATCTTATAAATGAAATTTTGGAGTCATTGGAAGTTAAACAGTTTTTTTTATAATGAAATCTTGGAGTCATTGGAAGTTAAACATCTTTCTTTATAAATGAAATTTTGGAGTCATTGGAAGTTAAACACTTTTTTTAATAATGACTAACAAAAAAAAACCTAATGGCAATTATATACTATTACACTTAAGTACTATGTACACATGTGTATGCACTGTATTAAACTTATATACCCATGCAGTATAAAAGTTGAATCTTTACATCTTATATAAATGCAGTAAAAGTTTTAAAGTAATTTGTTATTTATTTTTTATTTAATGTTATAACACAAGTTATCATAGAAAGGACTCTAATATTCTAAACCAAGACTGCCAGTCATCCATTAGGAATCAAATTTTCATTCAGCATAACAGCAATATATCCACAGCTTTATAAATATAGACTGATTTTAAAAAAATGTTTGCTATAAAATTAATCTGCAAAAGCTTAAAGTCAGATCTTTGGTATCAATTAATTTATCAGCTAATAATCTTTTCATTATAAGAAGCAGGGGTGAGCAAAATTAGATATCCGGTCCTGTTTGTTAAAACCATAAATCATCCAGACCATATTTTAAAAATCCGGAAAATTATTTAGATAAAATATCCAGAAAAAATCCATAATATATTTCCCTCTTGATTTTGTTTTTAACTGCATTGTTTCTAATTTTTTTTCAAACTTTCTTTAGTTTTGTATGAGTTATGTATGAAAAAAGCTTAAAAAAGATATTACAAAATATACAACTAAACTTGTATGTATGGAAAACGTTTTGGATATCAAGAAAAACTTAAAGTTGAGAAAAATATCCGGAATTCCAGAAATATCCAGAAAAAGATAATCCCTGTAAAACTGAATAGGATACCCGAATTTTTAGATGGTTAAAAATACCAGATTTAGCGGATATCTGATAAACTTCATCTTTTCTCTTCCAGTAACTTCCAACTCTAATAGTGGTTGCTTGCAGACTTGTTGGAAGTGAAGTTGTTAAAAAATAAAAAATAAAAAAAGTTTAAAGTCAAGCTGCACTACACCCCATGCTTTTTTTATTTTGTGCAGCCACAACCATTTGTGATCATATCATATATTCACAAGAACAACTGCCTTAATAACAAACATTATTTTATCATTGCAAGAAATGTATTGTTTGATGCTAAGTCCATTATTCTCAGATTAGAAAATGCTAGAATTTGATGCTAAGTCCATTATTCTCAGATTAAAAGTTGCTAGAATCTAAATTCTAGCAACTTTTAGCTAGGAAAAAGCAGAACTATTTGCAAAGAATTTTTCTTCTAATTAATCTTTAAAATCTAATGACCACATCTTTCTTGTCATCCTAGAGATAAAAGTTAATCCACTGTTAGACATTCAAACCACTCCTACTTTAGTAGTTTAAGTTATTTTTTGCTTAAATTCTTCTAAAATTTGTGGTCCGGAGAACATTCCTACCGCAGTTTTACAAAAGTGTCTCACGAGCTTAACTGAATCTTGTTTTTCTTTCTGATGCAAAATGGAATTTGTTGTTCCAATTTTTAAAAATTCTGGTGAATTGAAAAATTCTCTGATCTAACAATTGTTCCATCTTCTCACTACTATTAGCAAAGTCTTTGAACCTTTAAATAATTCAATTGAATCATTTTTTTCTAAATGCAGTATTTAAGTTGTCCTTGATGGAAAACAATCTTTTTCATTCTCAACAACTTCTTGGATACCATACTTGTTCCTGCTTCTTATCTATAATAATGATTTTGCTTATATTGTTACCTCTAAAGTATTTTTGTTCTAAACTATCCAAAAGCAATGGCCCCATTTTTCGATTTTTTGAGGCTTAGAACAGGCATCTTGAGTCCAATCTCTTTTCTATAACAGCTTGGGGCTTCCAGTGACCAGTGAATTTTAACCCAACCAAAACTTAGTTACTTATTACTAATAATTTTTTTATTTTTTTTTTAATTATTCACCTCCCCAAGGCCCGAGGGGGCCACTACAGTCAAGGAGGCTACTCATTTTTTTTTTGTTTTTTTTTTTGTAAACCATGGTACAACCCTCTCTCAACTCTTTATCTCCGAAACACGAACCTTGACAAGCAAGGCCAATGCGCAGAGAAATTAAGTTGAGCGCGGTACTTCCAGGGACATGGTGGGAGTCGAACTCCAAACCTCTCGCTTACAAAGCGAGCGCTCTTACCACTACACCACTACCGCATTTAATTATCACAATTATCACTTCAATATCAATATTCTTAATTTCTGTACTCCCAATTCCATTCACTACCTCCATAAATTTCTTATTCACCCTTTTATGGAATACTGTTGTCATATTTAGGCTGATTCTTCTAAAGATGCTTTTTCCTAATGATGTTTCTTCTAACAAGGTCCAAAAACGGATTGCACATGTAGTTAGGCCTGCTTTATCTGCTAAGAGCTTTTGCCCCATTATTGTAAAGCTTGATCTCTTTCTTCAAATACAACATGGTCGCTGCTCAAGCGAGCTATTATCATTTGTTTGATGTTCCAGTGAATTGCCATTCAGCAAAGTTGCAAATTTTTGCTGTAAATGTTTATTTATGCTAAAAAAACTTTTATTTGTTTTAAACACTTTTTTCTTGAATATTAGTGCTTTAGAATTCTGGTTTGTATTAGCATATCAGTATAGGTTCATGAACCCATTTTGCCAACTTAAACATCTTTGTAAATTAGTGAAACTAGCCATGCTTTGAATTATTCATTTCAATCCAAAAACGTACATATATCATTGATCCTGTTTTGTTTCTTATCTACATTAATGATCTTCCGACAACCTTACATCTAAAGTAGGTCTTTTTGCTGATAACTCAATTTTATACTCCTGTCTTGACAAGAAGTCTTCTCTTTTTGATTGCTTAGAACAGGGAGCTGATCTTGAATCCGATCTCACTTCTGTAATAGATTGGGGCTCACAGTCTATTCATTAATATATTGATCACAGTAGGTCCAAAAACATATTGTAAACATATTGGACCTGCTCTATTTGCAAAGCTTGAGCCTCTTTTCCATTTTCATAATGTTCTATCACTTTCTATTTTCTGCACATACTATCATGATCACTGCTCAAAGGAGCTATCATCTCTAGTTCCATCAACTAAAACTCATTCTTGCTTGATTAATCATTCAGCTAAGTCTCATTGGTTTACTGTATGTCTCTGCATGCTCTAAAAACTTTTATTCTTTTAGTTTATTTCCTGCACTGATGGGAGATTGGAGAGAGTTTTAAAGGGTTCACCTTTGGAACTCTTTCCTATCTTCATGTTTTCCTGACTCACACAACCTACAAGTTTTTGAGCCTTCTGTCAAACATTTCCTTGCTCTATAAATCTATTATTTTTTTTCCTAATAACTCCCAATTTAACAATGGCTGCTTGCAGCCTTGTTGGGAGTTAATAAGAATTAAAAAAAAAAAAAAATAGCTATAAAAACTTACAGTTTCCTAATTCGTATCAGCAACTCATCAATAAAACTCTAAATTTAAATAAACCAAATGACTTAATTAAATATCTAAAAAAATACAATTTTTTAAATAACTTTAAAATCTGCATGAATCATGAGACAATCAAAAAAATGGATTCCAATTTTTTAATTCGATTCAATATTGAAACTCTTTCAGTGAGGATTAAAAAAAGTATATTTTTTTAATTTTTTTATTATATTTTTTTTCAAAAGATTTTTTTAATATATTTCATTTTTTTTAAAGGAAAAAAAAAAAAAAAAAAAAACTGTTGTTGTTGCTATAGTTATGCTATCTTTTTTTAATGAAAAAAATATATTTTTACTCTCATAATAATGTTACAATCTAAATTAAAAAAAAAGAAATTTATTTTTGCTCCTATAATAATGTTACTATCAAAAATAAAAAAAAAGAAATTTATTTTTGCTCCCATAATAATGTTACTATCAAAAATAAAAAAAAATAAATTTATTTTTGCTCCCATAATAATGTTACTATCAAAAATAAAAAAAAATAAATTTATTTTTGCTCCCATAATAATGTTACTATCAAAAATAAAAAAAAAGAAATTTATTTTGGCTCCCATAATAACGTTACTATCAAAAATAAAATTTTAAAAGAATAATTTTGTTACTTTTACCATTTAACATAACATTAAAACATGCAAAATATTGCCTTTTTCTATTACCAGTGACATGCAAAATATTGCCTTTTTCTATTACCAGTGACATGCAAAATATTGCCTTTTTCTATTACCAGTGACATCAAAACTAATTTTGTAAGTACCAATGAATACATTTTAAACTTTTGTCAGCATTATTTTGCTGAAATTACAACAATAAGTTGTTTTTTTAAAATAATTTAATGTAACAGTTATTAAATTAGCACCTGCATAATGTTTTAACTGCCACATTAGTTACAATGTACCAACAATAACAGCTGTTATTGGTAACTGTTAATATCAGCAATTGCAACATTAGTTGCACATTAGTTGCAATTTTTCCAACAATAACAGCTGTTATTGTTATCTTTTATTATCTGTTAACAGATAACAAATTTGCTTCTGTAAACTAAAAGTTAAAGTCTTCTTCTCGATTAGGCTTTTTTTAGACTTAATTAGATAATTCATAAAATTGCTTGAGCGTATCCAAAAGAATGTTCTATCTGGTCTTGTGTGCAACTAAGCCAATCTTTTTTTTCAAGTACAACATTTACATGAAAGGGAATAACAGATGTAATACTTATTGTAAAGAAAATAATTCCTTTAAAAAAATATTTTTTTGAAAAATAAAAGATAGGTTGATGGCTATATGCAGAACTTGAAAAGGTTTTTAGGTGTTGAAGAATGCTGGTAAGATTTACCATGGCTATGTATAAAAATGTCATGATAACAAACAAAACAATTGTTTTAAAGTAACAATTAGTGTGAATTGGGAGAATAAAAATCAGGAGTAAGAAAATGATGAGCATAATAAAGAGAAGCAACCTTAGCAGATGCTAACTTAGCAATCTAATGTACATATGGTTTCCATAAGAGATCAGTAGTGAAAGATAATCCAAGAAGTAAAGAAGAGAACTCAGTGAGAGGTTTGCCATTCATCAATATAGGATTGTCAACAATATTCCGATAGTTGTTTGTAGTAAATAACTGAGTTTTGTTGGATTTAAAATTCACAAGTCTCTGGAAGCCCCAATCTGTTGCATAAGTGAGATCAGATTCAAGATCAGCTGCCTGTTCTAAGCAATCAAAAAGAGAAGATTTTTTGTCAACACAAGAGTATAAGGTTAAGTCATCAGCAAATAGAGCCAGTTTAGATGTAAAGTTGTCAGCAAGATTATTAATGCAGATAAGAAACAAAACAGGACCAAGGATAAAACTTTGAGGTACCCCAGAAGTTATTGGAAACAAAGATGAGTGTTGGCCTGTGAGGATGACTTTAGTAAAGCAGTTAGAAAGAAATGATTTGATAATCTCAAAGACTTTCCCAGATACACTATAAGAAGTAAGCTTATGAAGAAGACTGGCATACCAAACTTTGTCAAAAGTTTTAGATATGTTAAGAGCAATAGCCCTAGCCTAATGCACAATAAAATCTTTCAATCACAGCAGTTAGCAAGTCCATTGTAGAGTGAGAGAATCAAAAACCATATTGATTCACTGACAGTAAGTTATTTGACTTAAGATGGGATGTTAGTAATTTGTTAATCAAAGACTCAAATACCTTGCTAATAACAGAAAGAAGATTGATTAGACAATAGTTGAAGGGGTCAAAATGTTCACTGCAAATTTTAAAAAATCCCATTTTTGTTGCCATTTTGTTTAATATTAGAAGCTATTCTATACAGATGATTTATCTTGATTGCAAAGGCAGAAGAAGAATTATTACTAAGATTTCAGTGTTGGAATGACCGAATGAAAGCAAAAACACTTAGGATAAACATAAATAAAACAGAGGTTATTCATTGATGTAATGGTATATAAGGTGTTCTTAATATATAATATACTTTTCGTGTATACAGAGAAGCAAAGTAAGAGATATAAGTAAATAGTAGTGGAAAGAGAGTGTGTTAGTAAGTTTTGATATCTTGGGTATACAATTGAATCAGCTGATGGATCAGGGAGACATCAAGAATAAAAGCATGTAATAATGTGTGATGATTCATGGCAATGAAAGTTAATGTTTAGTGTCTTAAAAGAACAGAGAAGATGATGATCAGATGGATATGTGATGTGACTCTAAAAGATAAGTAAAATAGCAATGATTTTAGACAGCAATAATGAGTATATCTAACAGGATGCATCACTGAATACTAATGTGGTTTGACTAGGTAGATCATAAAGATTTAAATGATTGAGTATCAGCATGTAGAGAGTTAGCAGTTCTTTACTTCTTTACTTTAGTTTCTGGAGAAAAAAGTAGAGATAAAAAAAACTTGGAGTGTGTTACAGTTAGGGAAAGAAGATTGTGTATATTGGAGATACAACATTATGAAAAACATACAACTAACAAGCAAACAGAAGAAGCGCGGAAACATTAATACTAAAATAAGGATGATGGTATTTTGAATGTTTTAATGCCTTTTTCTAATTTTTGCATAAAAAAGAACAAATATAATTGTTTTCAATATAAACTTCAGATGATTTATAAATTGACATATTTGTCCTTATCAGACGCAGCTTTGTCATCACAAGCAGAAAAAAAAGTTTATCTGTGCTTGGTATTATATCATTTTCATCATATTGCTCCACAGTAAAACAATTTCTTTATAAAAAACTAGAATTTTAGCTGTTTGTAAGCCATGAGCTATACATAACTGATGTTGAACCTGCAAAAGTTGTCTAAATGATTTTATTGTAGCTCCATAAATAGTACTCATAATCATTTAAATTAGAAATAAACAGAGATTTGAGTTCAAAATTACTAAACATCCACCTGCAGACATCTTTACATGTGCTTGAATAAGGCCAAAATTATATACATTATGAAAATTTTCCTTTAAAAATTATATAACAATCATCTACGTTAAGAACATGCCAGGGTTAGAGTTAGGGTTAAGGGTTGAAACGTTAAGAAAGCACTTGTGCACCATGACATGTAAAAACTTTTTTAACTTGATTTGATAAATTAGGCTTTTGCAAAAATTTTCATCACAATTTGATGAAAAAGATAACAACTTAAAACTTTAACAATGTAACTGACACAATAAAAGAAATGTTAATTTCATTGCAAATCGATCAGTTGCTATTACTAACTTTTATTTATGTGCCATCCAGTTGAAACCAAATACTTTGTGAAAAACTTTTAGAAAAAAAACACCAGTTTAACACAAATAAAGAGTAAAAAATGGCTGAAAAAGGAAAATAATGTTTAAAATGTTGAAGCATTTTGTAATAAAAGAATCTATAAACATAAGTAATAGATACAATTTATTACTAATGATATAGGTATGTATGAAAGTTTACCAGATATCTTAATGAACATGGTTAAGGAAATAATTGTTTTCCAAGGGTGCCAAACAATGCTAAAAAAAAATCCATAAAGAATTCTATACAATCATGCACACCCCCTAATAATGAAACACAACTTTTTTTATGTGCTAGCTGTAAATTAAAAATGGGGAAGATACTGCCAAATTCTAAGTGAAGTCCGCTTATCTGATGTTAATACCTTTTAATTTAAAGAATTATAATTCATGAAACATTTAATTTTTTTTCACTAGTTCATAACAATGTTGTTGTATGTATTTGGAGATTTAGAAATATTTTCAAAGCTATAAAAGTGGGATAAAAAATTGAAATTTTTAAGTCATCCTTCAAATATCTTTCAAATTTCAACCAGTGATAAAATCAATGAAACATGATAAAATGTACAGTTTCAGCTAATAAATCCAAACAAAAGTTATGATATTTTAAAACTTAAACAAAAAATATTTAGATGATTATTTTTAATTTTAAAATAGTCAATAAATTTTTTTGTTTCATCACTGTGGGTTGCGCTTTCACTAACTCTAATCTAATGAACTGAATTTTCTTTTAAATGAAAAAGGGGATATTAGGCTATTTTAATAAAAAATAGGGTTTTTTTTTTTGGTTTCTTAAAGCATATTAAAGATAAGTCATTTTAAAGTTTAGACAATTATTTGGGCTCACATTCTCTATTACAGATATTTTAGCAATACATTTATCTGACTAATTTAAGTTCTAGTGAAAAAAACTGACTGAAAATTGGCACATTATTTTTGAAAATGCTAAATCAGGGCTCGAATTAACACAAAAAAATCTAATAGCGAAAAAATTTTTTTTTTTTTTTTACCCCTTTTCTTTTTTTTGCCTCTCTTACCTAGCGCTGCTTTGATGTAATGAGGGGGGGGGGGGGGGCATTAGTATAAAATTGTATATTTTATAAGTAATTGTTTTAACATATTATCTCTCATACATAAAAATTATCTTATAATTTTTTTGTTCGACGAAGTTTAAAATAGCTTAAGTTACTGTTATAATTTACAGCTTAAA